TCAACTCTTAATGATAAAGAAATAATTATAAAAAATAATAACAAATTTACCTTATATACCAGTAAAAACAAGGTACCTATGTTTTTACAGGTATAGAGGGTCAATTCATTATCACTATTTTTTGAATTCTTTGTATATCATAAAGGTTTTATTTAGGTTTCACTTTTAAAGGTGTGGGTAGGGTAACCTCAAGACTGGACAAGCACCTGTGCCCATTTGTGCCACCAGTGTTATGCATGCAAATTTGGACAAAATAAGGACAAGAAGTCAACTGATTATAACTGAACCGGAATATCCTGACGATAACAGAAACAACTTTTTTGTAAAAACGAATATTTTTTTGTCAAAAACGATTTGAAATCTTTTCTCTATTGTATAAAACTAATAAACAAAATAATCAATCGTAAAAATACTAACTAACATTGGCTGTCCCACGTGGAGGAAATAAAAATATCTATCTATCATACAGAAGGGAAACAAGTGTGCACATTTCATTTTTCACTTTTTTTGCAGAAAAGTTATTCGTTTTGGCAGTTGCTTATTTCATTTAAAAAGCAGCTTTATAGACAAGTAAATGCACTAAAAGACTCCGTTACGTGGTACCACTTAATATGCATGTATCAACTATGTTACACCTAAAATATCTATTTCACTTGTCTATTGATCACATATATACCGACAACACACGTTGCGCTATCTGTAGATCAGCACGTGGTAAGGTTAAGGATATGCATGGGCTATTTTTAGATTACCGATCACCAAGACGTTAAACTGTAGTTTTAACTCCACGTTAGAATTGCGTTTAAATATAAGACACAGTAGATCTAAATTTAACTCGATCGCAGACATATGTGATAGAGCTATGCAATTTTAACTTGTTCGCACTAATTCTCTGATTCGGTCATAAAGACAAAAATCAATCATAAAAGAAACTAACTTTTGCGTCTTGAAAACGAATTGAAACGGAACATTTTCGTTTATAATTTATTTCTTCCTTCTTCTTACGCTTTAAACCGATAAATCAAGTAAAAATAGAAATCCTATTTATAGAAACAAACTGGGATTACCGTAGTAACTAAAATAGCTTAGATTTCCGTAATATTACTTCGTCTGATTCCGCAGTATGACGGAATCGCCCGAATCGTCACGATTGCAGCGGAAACCTAGACTGATTTCCCGTTCCATCATGCACTAACAAATGTAAGCAGGAAACCACCTAACCGGAACAACTTTTTTCAGAACAAATGGCTTGCGGCTGTGGCTGCAAGCCAAAAAGAGGTGAAATACAGAAGTTGCAAGAAGAAGGATTACATAAATAAAAAAAAATTAAAAGAGTACTTCAGTTGAAAAACGCGTTATCATGAACAAATGTCAATTCATTTCTGACGCATGTCCGCAGTTTCTTATTAATTTTCATTTTCGACTTTGCCACACTTTAAGATAGTGCATTTGATATTCAATCAATATTTACCAACTCTTGATCTCCCACAGATACAAACATATTTTACTGTTTTCACCGAGTAGCATCATAACGTGACATAATCCTAGCGTTACAATGTTCATGGTTAAAGTTTCATTCATAAGGACACGTTTTGCAACTGAAGTACATTTTCATTTCGATTCTAATTTATGTTATTCCTTTTGCACCTTCAGTTAAGCTATTTTCATAATCTTCCACAATATTTTCCATTCATAAATGACCTGAGAAACATGCAAATGAAAAAAAAATACCCACGTGCATTATGGCTGTAAACAAGGAATAAACATAAGATCAAAGATCAACAATGCAAAGAGACATTAAGAGAATACAACCCATGACAAATCCAGTCACACTAGACCACCACAAAGGCATTCAGTTGAGCACCAAACAAGGGTACAAAAGTCGGGACATGCATTGGTCGTACTTGTACCACAGGCGTTCGGCACATTTGCCTTTGGGCCATTAATGGGGGCAAAATTTTGGGAAAATTTCCCTTGATCCCTCAGCCCCCTTTATTGTAAAAAAATTTATTCCCTGTTATTTTTATACGATGCTGAATATGTTTTATCCGGGGAGATCAAAGTTTCGAAAAATTTGGAAATTTTTGGAAGGGAAATGTCCCCCAAATTTTTATTTATCAAAAGAAAAACAATGACAGCTACATAAAATGCCTCTAAATGCAAAACCATATGAACATTTTTAAAAAACAAGTGAAAAAAACAATTGTATAATATTTTTAAGGCATATTCCCGTGACTAATCAACAAAGTTTTTTCAATGAAACTTTTTGGGAGTTTTTTAAAATTTTGACCAAAAAAAAATCAATAAAAAACCAAAAACTAATTTTGAACCGGCTTTTAAGGTTTAAAATGAGCCCCACAATTTTTAAAAGAAAATATCAACCCAAACACATGCTTGTTACATAAAGTTATTGAATACAAATATGACAACATATTTTTGTTTAATTGGTTTTTACAAATCAAAATAAAACTAATTAACACAACATGACATTATCTGCTAATAATAAAAGCTCCTACCATGGACCAAAAAAGCATTCCATAAAAGACGACGCCGCTCACCGGCGTCGCCAATAATATTCATATTCCTAGTAAAAGTTATATTTACATTTATGGTTAATACATTACATATGTGTTGCTTTCACGTCTTTCATACGTGGTGACCATAGAATCAAAAATTAAAAATTTATTATTTAAGATTGTTTCCAGAATTGTTAATAAGAATCTATGCACGTTTTGCCATGTTGGGCTTTCTTTAGGGATTCTTATTTTCTCTCATTTTGATCTAATAGCTATTTGTCTCCATATAGGTGATTCTTGAAAGTTATCTAAAAACTAATGTTATGTAGAATGCATTATCATGTGATTCTTACATGATTCATAGAGGACGCTGAACATTTGTTATTTCAATGCCATAAATATAGTCAAAAGTTATTTTTAGTTATAAATATTTTATAAATATTTTATTTCTTCTCAAAACATGCTTTATTTCATCATGTTCAACATTTTATCAAGAATCAAAAAGTCTATAGATAGCTTTACAACAATTGATTTTCTTTCATACTTTGCTTTTATGATTCGATACAAAAATGTAAGACTGTTGTAAATTGTCAAAAATCATAAAAAAAAACTGCCTTTGGGAGTAGGCGGCGTGGTTCTTAAAATATCAGAAAATGTATTTATTTACTTTTATTTCTCAAATTCTATTAATGTATAGATTTCAATTTAATAAATCATACTTTACATATGTCTTTTTCACATCTATTTTTAAATAACATTTCAGTAAGTATTTCAGGGGAGGGTCTCCGATTATGTTGTTATAACTTTTTGGCCCAACCCTTTTGTATATTTTAAATTTATGTATTTATGTATCATTGTGAAAATATATGTATGTTATGTATATATAAAATACAATAAAATATGTTTAAACTAATTATGGCATGTACTTCTGCATAATATGAACATGGATAACTATGTGCTTTTTGTATTTATTTTTCCGATTCATTTTTTTTTTAATTACAAAAAAACGGTAGTGCTACGGGGCCAGTAAATTAAAATTTTTCCCATCTTCCTGCGGGAATGGCCGTTGTTTCATCAACCGTTGAACGTACCATGATGTGTCAATAGAGGGATTTTGGCGAAAAAAGGGGGGGGAAAATTTGAAAGTTTAAACCCACCCGGGTTTTTCCCGGGGGTTGGTTTTTTTTCAAAAATTTCGAACATCTGTAAAAAAAAACCACTTTTCCCCGAAGTGGTTTGGGGCTAAAAAGCTTAATATTTTAGACTATTTATTAAACATTTGTAGATTACATTTAATAAATCTAAAGGAAAACCTAAACCTAATTAAATTGAATATTCATGCTTACTTGATGTGCTTTTTATAGAAGAATAACATGCCTGACATATTTAAATGATCTTGTTTTAAATGGTTGACTGCCCAAATGTTTCGCATAATGTCCCAAAAGATGATTAATCCTCTTTTCACTGAAACTTCTTGCTAATCGGATTGTTATATACTTTAACAAATGCAAATATCCAAAATGAGAATTCATCCTAGAAACCTTTGAAATAGTTTAGTTTCTTTAGAAAGCAACGCAGTGTTATTTTCATAAATAATATTTATACTTGTAAAGGATACATTTTCATTCAATGATATCCCATTGAATCTTAGGGTTTTCCCAGCACTTTCTGCGGCCAAATGCTGGCCATGTTACAAGACAATAATCTGATCACTAGACTCAATGTCCAAAATCAATGGGCATACACACATTTCGCCTTGCCCTAGAATCGAACCAGCGACTCACTGACAACTTATTCGATCCTTGCCTTATTGAGATAAGACAGCCAAGAACCGACTATGGTGTATAAAAAGACTTAAACTTGCACAAATTAACGTCCCAGATTTTTAAATAAATGTGCGTCAATATATAAATATATATAAATTGAGGGTATTTGGATAATTAGAATATATAACACATTTCTTTTTCTCTTCATGTAGAATATTTGCTAGAGAAATATATATGAAATCAAAACATATCAATAAATTGCAATTAGAACTCAAAATAATATATTTCTCCGGATATATATCTTTATTTGTCTTGATTTAACATTGTGAGAAGATGATTTAGTAAAATATATACATTTCCTAAATAATTTCATGCTAAAATTAACAATACTTCAGGTTGCTTACGGAACATCGGTGGTCCCACTCAGGTGCCCGTTTGTGCCTGAAATAATGTACAGAGATTCACTTGGCGTCTTCCGCCACAAGTAAAGCTGGAAAGTTGCCATATGACCTATACTGGTTGGTGCGACATAAAACTCATCCAAAATAACATGTAGTTCTTGCCTTGGCATATACAAATAATGTTGCCATGGCGTAATGATAGATAACACAACAACTCGAATAGGTACAAATATGACGTATGAAAAAGTATGGGCTGTGATGATTGATTCAAACTTAACGTGATTCAAAAATATTTGAGTATAAGTTTATAAGTAATTTCAAAAAAGCAATTTCATATAGAAAGAAGCAGGTGAAACTAACAGAAATGATATTGATCAATTGACTTTACAGATGAACACACAATTACACAATTATTCGAACACTTGTAGCTGAATAAGTGAATAAGATAATATTGACACAGATCATGCGTTAATTGTCATATTTGCAGTGCTACATAGAAGTTTGATTATTGTCAAATGAATGGTTTGTTTTCAGTGTTAAGTACGATGTATCAAAATGAAATAAATAATAGAAATAATCATCATTGAACTGTTTCACTCATTAGATGTAAGATTCATACAATTGTTCTTGATTGTATAACTTATCAACAAATTGGTTTTGAATGTTAGTGTAGTTATAAAAGTCACATTTTAATATGGGACTCATATCCAATGACTATATATGTATGCACAGTCTTGGTCATCCTGAAACGATCATCATTTTCACCTTATATTGTGAATCATGTATGTACTATAAGATACTGATTATTGCGTTATTAAAATGACATCTTAAATTTCTGCATTTTCGGGTTTCCTGAACAGGAATTTGTAACAACAAGAAATGCTTTATCAAGTGAAACACAAACTCTATACGGATATTTCATATCTATCTTGTGTGATGACAAGATCTGACCTGTTTGTGATATCTGTACAATGGAGTCTGTTCCATAACTACAAACCAGGATAGTATCAGAGGGACCAACTGCTACACCACATGGTGTCTGTATATGATCATCTTTCACAACTACTCTCGTGTTTGTCTTGATATCATATATATAGATAGTATGCTTGTAGATATCTGTAAGCACGAGTTTATTAATGTTCTGTATGTAAGTACAAACGCTCGTGTCTGCCTGATATGCCTTGTTCGGAAAGTTTATACTTAAAGCATCTGGCTCTCCTGCCAATGATATTATTTCAACGGGTATTTGGTAATCAAAAGTCCCTACAACAAATTGGCTATTATCCTTTAAACATATAGAATCATATTTCGTTGTTACACGATATTTTCTTCTTGAACTTATCTCATTAGCTTTACCAACACGTAGAAGGTCTATCATATATTTGTCGCCACTTGTTATCGCTACTTCATCCTCAGATACAGAAACAACGGCTAGTGGCCCATAAGATAATTGATATGATCCTAATACCTCAAGTTTCTCATCGTAAACTATCAATTTCATATTGTTATTATCCACAGCAACTAGTCTACCATCGGGTAGAAAGTCTAATCCTGTAATAAATGGTTCCTCGATGTCATCGTCCGTCTTCTTTAAATCAAAAGAAGAAACTTGAGTTAATATCTTCACCTTATTTACACCATTCACATTTTCCAGTTCATGATATTTTAATGTGAGCTGCCCAGGAACAAAGTCACTTATAGATTCCGGTGGCAGATTTAATTGTTCGTCAAAATCAAATGAAATGGTCATCGTCTGGAAGTTCTGACATTCCTCATTGACATCTCTGCATATAACATTTGCATCTTTTTCTATCTTCTGTTCTGCTATAAATTTCTGCGTTGGAGTTCCACTTTTGTAAATGCTATGAATCGCTTCTAGATACGCTGTAACATTAGCAAAGTGCCTTTCGTTTTGTGATTGCTTCTTTTCAAGGTCACCTAATTTTTCTTTCTGGAGGGTTTTAGCTCTCTTAACAATGGAAACTTCCAATTCTTCAAACATTTTCACTACTTCATCTCGCATTTCCCTAATTATCGCTTGTATTTCTTCAACGTCTTGAACAAGTTGATCCTTTGAAGAGATAATATCTCTTGCAATATTTTCAGCATTTTCTTTAGCTTCCTGCAATATCTCTTCTAAACTAGAACTTGGTGACGTCATTTTCCCGGCAAGTTTCTCAACCTCAACAACACTGTGACATTTACTATGATCAACAATGGCGCAAGTACTGCAACAAAGCTTTTTCTCAGCTTCACAGAATAAATCTATAACCTTTTGATGTTGATCACATCTGATTAAATGAGCTACATTTGCGTTTAGCAATTTATGACTTTTAAAGACTGCAAGCACGTTATGCACATCTGAACAATCATAACACTGGAATTCGTTGCATGTTGAACAAAACTTGTCAGCCACGTTTTTCTTATCCTTACTTAAACATGGTTGACACATAATTTCTTTGACACGCATTTGACACAAAGTTTCTTCGACACGCCCAGGAACTTCATCATCCTCTCGTATATTACTTCCACAATCCGCCATTTAGATTAACAATGATTCTCTATTTCCTAATTAAGTAAGTTTATATTCTCAACTCACAATTTAGCGAAACTGTTACTGTGTCCGATTGTATATTTCGATGCAAAAAATTAGGTTTTAAAACTGATTCATATCAGCATTTCATCTAGTATCTATCCATGTGTTATCTACCGTATGTTTACAGTACATTGCTACAATAGATATTCTGAAATGTATGGTGGCTGATTTGTGTCATATCGTATGAGCATGTTTTCAGGGCAAAATGCGAAAACACGAAAATACTTTTTTCGCGTAGCGGGGCGAAAATTACAATTTTGGCCTATTTTCGCCTTTGTTACCTTTTGCCTCGCCACATGAAAACACGCCACATTCTATATATCATGTCTTTACCAACAGTTTACCAACTTTACCAACACGGAAACCCGCCACGCGAAAACGCGACAAATCATAACTTTATCGCGATTTTGCGTGGCGACCATTAGCCCCGTCACGCGAAAACGCGCCACATTCTATGTGTCGGGTATATTCTTTTAATTTGTGTTTTATTTTTTTGCCGCCCCAGCGAAAACAAAAACATTTGAAAAATAATATGTGTCGTATTTTCATATGGCGCCCGCCCAGAAAGATGCGACATTGCATTTTACTGTTTACTGTTACTCGATATAGTGACGTATGCTGAAAATCAGACTCGCAAAGAAAACTTTAATACGAGGGTTGTCCAAACAAGAGGGCCATGATGGCCCTGAAGTCGCTCACCTGTATATAGGCCCCCGGAGCGGGGCCAGTTTAAATCCCAGGGCTTTTATTTGAACAAACTTGGTAGACACCCATAAGAAGATGTTTCATGCTAAACATCTAAGGTCTAGCTGGTCAAGTTTTTTCTTTACACATATAGTTAAAAACAATGACACACCTGGGGCAGGGCCAGTTTTGACCCAAGGGCTTTTATTTGAACAATCTTTGTAGACACTTACTAGAAAATGTTTCATGCTAAATATCTAAACTCTAGCTATTCGGGTTTTTTCAAAGAAGATTTTTAAGTTTTTGCTATACACATATATGGAAAATCAATGTCCCCGGGGCGGGGCCAATTTTGACCCCAGGGCTTTCATTTGAACAAACTTTGTAGACACTCACTAGAAGATGCTTCATTCTTAATATCTAAACTCTAGCTATTTGGTTTTTTTTCAAAGAAGATTTTTAAAGTTTTTACTATATGCATATAGGGAATTCAATGACCCCCTGGGGCGGGGCCAATTTTGACCCCAGGGCTTTTATTTGAACAAACTTGGTAGACACCCATTAGAGGATGTTTCATGCTAAATGTCTTAGCTCTAGCTCTTTGGGTTCTTTAAAAGAAGATTTTTTAAGTTTTTACTATATGCATATAGGCAAAATCAATGACCCCCTGTGATGGGCCAATTTTGACCCCAGGGCTTTTATTTGAACAAACTTGGTAGACACCCATTAGAGGATGTTTCATGCTAAATATCTTAGCTCTAGCTCTTTCGGTTCTTTAAAAGAAGATTTTTTAAGTTTTTACTATATGCATAATTATAGGGAAAATCAAAAACCCCCTGGGGCGGGGCCAATTTTGACCCCAGGGCTTTTATTTGAACAAACTTGGTAGAAACCCATTAGAGGATGTTTCATGCTAAATATCTTAGCTCTAGCTCTTTGGGTTCTTTAAAAAAGATTTTATAAGTTTTTACTATATGCATATAGGGAAAATCAATGACCCACTGGGGTGGGGCCAATTTTGACCCCAGGGCTTTTATTTGAACAAACTTGGTAGACACCCATTAGAAGATGTTACATGCTAAATATCTTAGCTCTAGCTCTTTGGGTTCTTTAAAAGAAGATTTTTTAAGTTTATACTATATGCATATAGGGAAAATCAATGACCCCATAGGCCGGGCCAATTTTGACCCCAGGGCTTTTATTTGAACAATATTGGTAGACACTCACTAGAAAAAGTTTCATGCCAAATATCTAAGCTCTAGCTCTTTGGATTTTTTAGAAGAAGATATTTAAAGTTTTTTCTTTTGGTTGCCATGGCAACCAGAGTTCTGCATGGAATTAAATTCTTTGAACAATTTTCAAAGGTGACCACCAAAGGAACATTCCTGTGAAGTTTGGATGAAATTGGCTTGGTGGTTTATGAGAAGATGTCATTTAAACTAAAAGTTTACGGACGACGGACGACGGACGGACGACGGACGCCGGACGAAAAGCGATCACAAAAGCTCACCCTGTCACTTTGTGACAGGTGAGCTAAAAATTCGTGCACTGCAGTTATTGTCGTGAGAGTTATTGATAAAAAAAAAACATGAATTATATATCACTTGAAGCTTGTAGGGGAAATCTGTCTCATATAAGAAAACAAAAGATAAAGCCGTGTAACTGGCATGTTATGAAAATGAATTGTCATACAGTTACCTTAGTAACGTAATACCGGCGCACGACAAAAAATTGGGTTAGTTCATTACTGTGATTGTATTAATTTTTTGTTGCTTGTAAAGTGGCATTTGCTTTTTATGTCATAATTTGTTTTACTGTCAATAGAGGAATGATTGATGCAAAGTATTTTGTAGTTTTTATTGTTCTTATGCAACGTACATGTAACATATTCCACCAGTGCACGAATATATTGGACAACCCTTGTCACATGCGCCGGCCTTACGGACGGACGTCTGCCTGACCGGTTGTAATCGTCTACCGACTCTCGCCCCTCTACAAAGCGTTTATGCCATTTAAAAACCAGCCTTTCGTGACACT